TGAATTTTCTTTGAACATTGAAAAAAATATAAACCCAAATTTATTTAGTTTATATAAATTATATTTTATAAAAATTTCAAATATTTACAAAATATTTATTTTTTTTAATAATCATTTCATTAAAGGTATTTTTTCAAATGTAATCTCTTAATTTATTTTTTTTTTTTGATTTAGAGAATAAAGCTTAAATTAAAAATAAGAAAATATTTAAATTTCTATTTAGTTTTGTCAAAATAGATTTTTTATTTTTTAATATATAATGATATTTTAAAAAAAAAGATTTTTTAATTTTGAATCTTTTAATAAAAACTTGTTTTTAATAAAATGTCTTTTTTTAAAATCAATTTTAAAATCAATGTAAAAAATTTGAAATTTTCTTTTTTAACTTTTAAATTCTATAAAGTTAAAAAAAATAAAACATCAATTAAATTTGTTGAAAATTTTAATTTTTTGTTTCATTATTTTTCAAATTTTAATTATTTTATTTAAATCAATTAAAATTATTTATTTAAAAATTGTAAAAAAATTTTATTTTTTTTTTGTCTTAATTCTTCAAATCATCTTTACAGGTTTAAAATTGAGTTTTGATAACATTGTTTTAAAAATAGAAAAAGAGCTCCAGATCTTATTTAAAATATTTTTTAAAAAAATTTTATTAAAATTACCTTAAATATCATTTTTATTTAACAAGAATGTTAAAATTAAAGATGATGATTTCTAAATTGTTATTCAGTGTATATTTCAATAATTCATTGGATAATCTTAATTACTTACATAATTGGCCATCCATGTGAATAAATAACTGAAACCTTCAGTGTCTTTGCAATATGAATATATGATATGCATATGTTCAGTACCATTATCAAAATCTGCAAAACAATATAGTAGCTGAATATAGGAAGGATACTTAAAACCCCCGTCATTGCAAATAATAAAATAAAATAAAAGATTGGTGGTGGGGGAGTTATGGGGGGTAACAAATGAACAGACATGAACAAATGACATTGAAACTGACTTTAAATGAATTTACCTGGCCAAAGAACAACTGAACTGACTTTAAATTAACAATTAATAAGGAGATGGGCATTTTGAAAGTTAACATATGAGTAAAAATGTCAAGGTTTTTCTAATAATAGAAATGTACAAGTGTAGGGTTAGGGAGGTTAAGTTGTAAATTTACATGTTATATCTTATGGAAGCATGATTATTTTCAACTGTGTTTGAATTATATGACTATATTTATGTGTATTTGATATGTGTAGGAATAGAATGTGTATTTAGAAGTGTGTGTATATATATATATATATATATATATATATATATATATATCTCAGAACTTGTATATGTGAGTCTCTATATCCCAACTATGGCATGAAACTTAACTCTCCCAGACTTTCCTCCTTTTATGTGCCATGTTCTTTCAGGACGTACACGATCATGGCGGCCCTCCACTTCCTCCTGTCCCTTGTAGCTCTCAATAAATTTTGTCTTTTTGTTATTTCTCCCAGACCCTGTTCTGCCATCTACTTGGTTAAGACCATTAAGTATGTCATGTGTTGCTTTCCCTTGTCCCTCTTTCCCTCTATGTGCCCTGTGAGTATCGGATTTTCCAAGCCCTCCTTTCTCATTACATGTCCCAGAAATTTCAGTTGCTTCTTTCTGATGTTAAGTATAAGTTTCCTCTTTGTTTGTGTCCTCTCCAAAACCTCATCATTGCTCACATGTTCATTCCATGGTATCCTTAGCGTCCTTCTGTAGAACCATCCAACCCACTACATTTGGTTTCTGAAATCAAGACCTATTTATAGAGTTTGCCAAAGTTTCACTAAATGACCACTGATTTGAGCTTAGTGAAATTAAATCTGAAATTCCAGTTGTAAGTAATAAGAAATCCTTTTTCCATGATGTTCTTTGGAAATGGAAATGTATTTTTCTTTTGATCTGTTAGCTTAATATGTTAGTTTCAATCGCATATTGGTTTAATAGTGGGTAATCAGACTTATACTAAGTTAAAACCGAATCATTTTATTCTCTTCTCACATCTTACCACAATCTTCTGCCTCCTTACGAACTCTAACCCTCAAATCTTTTACTCGCAAATTGGGGGGGGGCTTGTTTTTCTTTTTTTTTTAAATATATATATATTGATGCAATGGAATAACCTGCCACCCCCATGAGTGGCGGCACTATAGGTGATAACCTCCTATAAGTATCCATTAGAACAGCGGACAGCAGAGTCGAGCTGGGATCTGCAAGACTAGCGGCTTTCTGATAGCAGCACACACACAACTGTACTGACTTGTGATGACCGTGTGCATAACTATTACTTCCTTGTTTGTTGTACTGGTTTCTACAATAAACTTGTTACTATTTATCCACTGTGTTTGTCCATTCCATATTCCTATTAGCATGTAATATAACACACACACTATATATATATATATATATATATATATATAATAGAGAGAGAGAAATGTCAGTGACTAAACCCTTAATCCACAAAATGTTCTTGTCAAAAAAGTCAGTTAGCAAGCCAGTAAGAAAAAATAAAACCTAACAAAGGGTGGAAGAACTGTTGATGAGTCAACGGCCAGCTAACTAGAGGTGGTGTCTCCATAAACCACTGTCGAGAAGGTAACAGGAAACCACTCCATTATTAATCCCAAGAAATATCATGGCAAATAACACACATTATGAAACCTTATGGTGTAAAGGAGGTTAATTTTATGGGAATTATCTCCTTGCCTGGTAAGGACCGAAAAGTGCAGCAGGAGTCACCTGACTGTCATCCAGCAACTGCTAGCATAAACAGCCTAAAGCGGATAAAATCCCTTGGAACCAAACCCTTGCCTGGAAAGAAGCAACATGAGAATGTTATCCAGCAACTGCTCATATCAAAAAATAACTCTCAGGACATAGAATGTTAGGATGTTGAACAACTGTGGCCAGTTAGAAAATGTAAAATAGGACATGAGTAGGCTAAAAATCAACATCTTGTGTGTATGTGAAACTAGGTGGCCAAACAATGGAGTTTTGCTAGTGACAATCATAGGATTATATATGAAAGCCTTTCAATATAGCTATCATAATAGTGTATCCACTGACAGTACAAAGTAAGGAAGAAGAAATCAAATCTTTCTACTCCATACTAGACAACACCATTGCAAATCACAAGAAGTCATAATTATCATGGGAGACCTGAATGCCAAAGTAAAGAGAGAGGGCAGGGGAGATAGCTGGCAAATTCGGACTAGGAACCCACAATGAATATGGAGAAAAGGGTCCAATGGTGCATGGGCAATGACCAGGTAATAGCCAACACATGGTTCCATGAATAACCGAGATGATTATGGACATGGAGAGGCCCAGAAGGAGAAATTAAAAACCAAATTGACAACATATCTATCGACAAAAGATACAAGAATGTAATGGTTCACAGCAAAACCTATCCAAGTGCTAACTGTGGCAGCAACCATTGCCTTGTTATATGCAAACTAAGAGAGAAACTATGGAAACTGAAGAAACCTAACACAGCACCCAAATTGAAATACAACTCCTGAACGACCTGTACCTAAAAGAAAAATATATGGAGAGTGTGAAAAGAAGATACAAGGAGCATGATGGAAATGGAAACACAAAATGGGATACACTAAGAGAAGCTTTAGTGACATAAGCAAATGATATCTTCCCAAAGAAGAATGGACGGAAAAGAAAAAGTGAATGGATCACAGATGAGATTCTCAATATGATGCAAAGGAGAAAAAACTCTGCCAAGATACGGAACAAAATACAGAAAACTACACAAAGAAATAAGAACCAAATGCAAGCAGGCTAAAGAAGAGTGGCTAAATGAAAAATGGTCGGAAATAGAGAAATTGAGTACCAAAGACAAAGGAGATATGCATAAATAAATAAAGGAACTAACAGGACAGAAGACATGCTTATCAACAAGCTGCATAAAATCAAAGGATGGAATGCTCATATTAAAGAAGGAAAATTCTTCAGCACTGAAAATCTATTGAAGAACTCTTCCACGACAAAAGAGAACAACTCGCAATACACAGAATTACTGACGGGCCTGAAATTCTAAAAGCCAAAGTAGAAGCGGCACTGGCCAAATTGAACAGAAACAAGGCAGCAGGGCCAGATGGAATTGTAACAGAAATGCTGATGGCCTTAGATGATTTTGGAATAGATAAGAATACGGAAATAATAAATGAAATCTATAACAGTGGGGATATACCAGAGGATTTAAGCAAATCTATTTTCATAGCACTGCCAAAGAAACCAGAAACAAACAAATAAGAACTCCACCAAACAATCAGTCTAAGGAGCCACATAACAAAACTCCCAGACTTACAAATGACCGATGACAATGAAATGAATCTATGTCTATATTTCTGAGATGAGGTATTTTTACATTATTCGGACTATTGTCCTCATCTTTGTTGCCATATTTATTACAAAGTTTCGGCCTTTGTATGCTCCGGTCTTCTTCAGGTGGTTGGAATGTCGAACTGAACCCTTTATTTCGCTCACTGGGGTAGACTATTCTAGTTCCACGTGCCATGTTTTAATGGATATCAGTTATCTCCTGTTAATTTTCCCTCTGAAAGTTCTCCACTGCCTTAACTGGGTATTGAACTCACACTCTTTGGGTCCTGTTACTGGATCTAACCAACGCCTTTATCAACTGTGCCATGTGTCCTCAAGGACAGGACCCAAAGAGTGTGAGTTCAATACCCAGTTAAGGCAGTGGAGAACTTTCAGAAACAAAAAAATAACAGGAGGTAACTGATAACTGACATCCATTAAACATGGCACGTGGAACTAGAATAGTCTACCCCAGTGAACAAAATAAAGGGTTCAGTTTGACATTCCAACTATAAAGAATGGTATCGGAAGCATAAACGGCCAAAACATTGTAATAAATATGGCGACAAAGATAAGGACAATAGTCTGAATAATGTAAATAATGAAATGAATCTTGCTGACTGTAAATGGATGACTCCACACTTTTTCTGAATGTATGTTTTCATGTTAATTTGCATTTCTTATATTTTGTCATCTCTATTATGAAATTTAACTTGTTTTTAGTAATGTTTGTACTAAGACAGTATTAAGTTTTTTCTTTGGTGTTGTATCATCTACCCCGATTTTTTTTTCGTTTTTGGTATACTGGCCAGGTAGCGTTAACACACCCTCCAAAAAAAGTCAGTATTCTGACTTTAAGTTAAAACTTAATTATTCCAAATTACAAATCTTTATTTTATCCCACCCACACACAGGTATGCCTTTATTCATCATTCTATGTAATAATGTATGTGGAAGTTAAACCCAGATTTGTTGTTGTTATTGTTTTTTTAATAGGAGTAAATAGGTTCTCCTATGACTCCTCGCCTTCTCTTGGACAGGATCAGAGGCTCACCCCTTGTTTCCTGTTTCTTTCCTCTTCTCAGGCCTTCATAGTGGTGCTGTCTATATATATATATATATATATATATAAAAACTCTAAATGAATTTGACAAATAAAAAAAATTTTTTACAAATTCTAAAATTCCCAGCTCTGTCATGAGCATGTGTAGTCCCACCAAAATAACAAATTTAGTCCATTCAAGTCCTGAAGTAAAGGTTTTACACTTTGTCATATATATATATATATATATATATATATATATATAGCTTTCTGCTGATAGATCTGTATGTATGTGCACATTAATATATGTAGATACATATATAAGCACATGTAAACCTAATTGTTTACATATATACTTAGCTAATTATACTCACTTGTTTCATTAATTTCCCAAAAGTCCTTTGTTTGAAGTGTCTCTTCTCAGACCTTAATAACATATTTTGCCATCTATGATGATCATGTTTGTATTGCTTCTAATTACTTAATTTTTACTCCTTCAGTTGTAAATCTAATTAAATGTCAGTAACATTTACAATAATTCATATGACATTCTGTATTTAAAATTTGTTTTTTATCTAAAGTAAAAATGTTATAGGCTGTTTTTTTTTTTTTATTTAAAGCTAAAATATTATAAGATACTTATTTACCTATTCTAAAATAAAATTCATTCTTACGTCCATTGTTTTGAAAGCAGCTGAAATCAAGAGAAATATGTTATTCTCTAATAATAAACATATTGGTGCTTTCATAAGTATGTTCATATCAGAAGGTTACCAGTGTGGATAGGTGGTAGGATAATTATTTCACCGGAAACTTTAGAATAAAATGAACTGACTCAAGTGTTTAAAATAAATAATGTATTTTTATTTATTCTCTTTAGAGAGATGAATGAGTCCTTTGGTATTCAACATAGAAAAATTCTTCTAATAAGGTGGATGGGTATTGGTAGCAGTCTGAAGAAATGGCTGTTTTGGCCGAGTAGTTTATAGTTTGGAGTCAAACCATGATAAGGATAGTAGTAATCTCAGAAATTCAGTTAGTGCCAATCTACTGTGTTTTTCTTTGCTCTGAGGAGGACAAAAATATCAGTAGCAAAAGACCTCTTAACTGCTTCTTCATACATCATGCATGACTGGTTTCTACAAAGTAGCATTATTTTATTCCATCCTCTTCTTGTCCCATCTGCCTCTAGCCTTTTGACCAGGCTCTGAGACCCTGGCATGTACATTGGTTTCAGCTAACATTAAAAGTCTCTTTGTGTCAATTTTTTTGATTGGCCAAAATTATTTTATTTTCCAGCCTTCCTTTCTTTTTCACTTTCTTCTTATAATGGAATTTATGTGTGGCGCCTCTTTGATTTTAGGTATTTTCCAGACATAAATAAGTAAGCTCTGCTCCTGCTAACTTCCAGTGTTTTTGGCCAAGTTCAGTCTTTTCTTCTTCTTTCTCTTTTTATTTAAGAGTTGCATTCTCATTAGTTGAGAGAGGTATAGAAAGAGAAGTTTAGAGAGAGAAAGAAAGAGATAAGGGTTTTAAAGGAAAGCGCAAATGCCTTATTTTAATTTGAATTCTTTTTATTTTTGTTTATATATTTTACTTTTTATACATTTTATTTTTGTCTGAACTCACTACAGTGCCTTTAATTATATTAAATGTCTTCTTGAAATATCTTGCAGCATTCAACGGGAGGACCAATTATTGCTGTCCAGGTAGAAAACGAATTTGGCACTTACAGTAATGAAGTACAGCATCTTGAATATCTGCGAGAGGTAAGGACACTTGGAAGAGTTTCTTGCTTACAATTTATAGTTTCATTAGAAATTTTAATGTATATTGAAAACAAGCAATACTTTTTATTCATTTTATAGTTCAGTAAATGGGATAATTAGGATATTTGATTTAATAAATAGGATATTTAATTATAAAATATAATTGATAAATTTATTTTCTCTAAAATGAAAATTTACATTAAATGATAAGGATTACTACAGTCAGTCTTGATTTTTCCTCATAATTTTAACGTACTAGTGTTTCATGGTATGACTAGTGTATAATTAAAGTTCTATAAATAGACTTTTCCTACTTAACAATTTCTAATGAATATTGGTTGTATTTTTGATAAGTTTGATTTGATTCCTACCATCTATTGTCCGGTTCACACTCCTCCCTGGTCTTTTGAACAGGTGTAGAGATTTACTCCTTGTTTCCTGTTCAGGATTGGGTTTCTGGTGTTTTCTAAAGTCTACTTCAACTTTATACTTATGATATATCTGCCTAAAAGTCTGAACTTTTATTTACTGTTTATTTAATTTTCTTTATTTTCTCAATAGGTGTAGATAAGTTCACACTCTACTCTTGTCTTTTGAACAGGAGTAGAGGTTTATCCCTTGTTTCCTGTTTAGGCTTGCATTTTTTGTTTCTTTTGAAAGTTTTTTTCTTCTCCTTCACTTCCAGTGGCCGCTTGTGTCTTGGTGACTTCATCTCCTTGCTTAGGATGGCACCTCTTACTCTGTAACCCTCTACCTTGAATGGCTCTTGGGTGAACATTATTGTGTAAAAAAAAGAACAAAAAAAAGTGGCGTTCTATGATAAATCTTCTGATTATTCAGATTCGGACAATGTTTAAATGCTGCCTGGATCATAAAATAAGTTAAATGAAAAGTTTTGGAAATCATTTTTCAAAAATGTTTTAAGATACATTATGAGTATGAAGATGAAGTTAGAAAATAATGAATAAAACATGCAAATGTATAATTGAAATTTAAATTAAACAGGACTTACTAAGCTTTTACTTTGAACAGCATTCCTATTGCTATGCAACTGTCAGTTGTATTTTAATAGTATCTTTTCTCACACTTCTCACCTGTGGAACACCCTTCTGATTTCTTGCTTCCCTACCAATCTTTAAAAATTTAAATGCAACACCAATTGTTATCTCCTGTTTCTTGAAACCTGTCCTTTTTACTCATTTCTCCTCACTAAAGTCTTCTCATTCTCTTTCACTCCCAGGAATCCCTTATCACCTTGCTTGGGGTGAAATGATTAAAAAAAAAAAGTGTTTTTAGTAGAGTTTGCATCTCCTAGGTAGATGGTCATACAAGGTTTAAAAGTTCTTCATCTCTAACGATTATTTTCAATAGATAACTGACTGGAATAGATATTTTGCTAGACCCTCAGATGCTTGAGGCTACCACCAGTCGGAGAACTCTAAATACGCTTTAAAACAGCTATGAATAAACACTGAAACATTATTTTTTAGAAATCTATATTAAAACTTTGTCTATTGCAAATATATATCCTGAGTCATCAAGTGGCTACAGCTTAGGTTACTTGGTTTGATTTAACATTTCTGGAAGTTGTTTAGCTCGCATCTGGTAAGATCATTCATTGAAACAGATCTATGAGTAGAGCAACAATTTAGATATCAATGAAAAAGAGAAGCCTAGGCAGTGATGTAAGATTGTGTGGTGACATGTGATCAAAATACTTCAATGAGGAAACACAATCTCTTGTTGTCTTTGCTTTTGACTAGAGTAGCTTTCACACTAGGGCTAGACTCTTTTTTATGCTAAACTAGTAATGATACCTGGCATTGCACAGACAAAATTAATCATAATTAATACAGTTCAATAGGTTTAAAAGATTTTGATAGGCATGTATTTTATATATATATAAAAAAAAATTAAAAATATGTATTATATCTTAGCCATATAAGAATTATCAATATGTATTTATATATTTCCTGTCCCATCCATAGTAGGAAGGGAGGTAAATCAATTTAAGTTAGTAAATTTATGAGAGATTACTTCCCTTAGTTGGTTTAATAATCTATACAAATAAAATATTTGCAAGATGAATCATTTAGTTAATCAGTTCCTTTCCTCCTACATTTCTTAGATTGCAGTCTTATTTGTTCAAATCATTCATGTGAGGCACTCGGGTACCTTTGTCTATTAAGTGATCATCTTGTTTCAGCTTGGTCTTGAAATAGGTTTTGTCATCACCATCTTTGTCATTCTGTTGCTAATGTTTTTCTTTCAAGAAATATTTCCATTTCACTGTTATATTAAACACATAAAATTTTTAACATGAAAGATATTGAGCCAAAAGCAAGTTATATAATACCAGAAGTAATCAATGTATCCTAGATATGTAAAAAATATACAAATGGAATAGATTAATTAAACTGTTCATTTTCATTGTGAATTCTTTCTCCACTTTATTGAATCTCAACATATTGTTTCAAGATTTTATGGTTCATTGCATCTCACTATGAAAGCTATTAGCATTTAATATCATAATTTATAGTATTTGTTAGATTTTCAAAATATATTATTAAAAATGTCAACATGGCTTACTTCCCTTTATTCTCAAGCTGTGTTCTAAATGATTATAATATTCAAAGCAGAAGATGGCATTATTTGAATAGTTAAGCAATTTAATTATAAAAGCCATCACTAAAACAATTACTGATTTATAAAGATGCTAAACAATAGATTAGAAAGGAATAATAAAACAGTAATTTAAAGAAAAATGATTTTGAAAGCTGAATATGAAAATTAGTTTTCACCACTAAACGAGAACTGCTACAATAGATAATATATTATATAGATTTGAGTAGCTATCCATGATAAAACCACACTTGTGACTGTTACAATTATCAATATAAACTTAGTCCGAGGGTGCCACCTGCCAACCAATAACTTTTTTTTATTTTACAGTAATGTTCACTCTGTACAAGGCCCTGGAGTCACTTGTGGTAGAGACTTACAGAGTAAGAGACATGGTTTATGTAGATATGTGAAGAAGATAACGGTTAACCCTTGACATGAACAGGTTAATATTACACTGATTCAGAAAGTCAGTTTGTGGGAAGTTTGTGCTTGAATGGAACATACATCTCACCAATGGAATGCAAAGAGAATAAGAGTGGAAGACTACGATGTGCATAGCATGGCAAGTCTTAGCCATGAATGGTAAAACTAAGGAATGTAGCTCATCTGAGCACTTTCTGTGGAAATAACAATAGAGCTAGAAAGGCTAGCAACGTTTCATTGTCTTTCTTGAAATGTGTTACAATAATTACTGGGCAGTACTGTTGAAACTAGAGTGATTGTTCTTCCTAGGTCAAGGAAACACTTTAAACTTGACCTTGTGTCTTATCACACTTGGGTCGGTATGCAGATAAATCCCATAATAAAATACACTTTCTTATGTGAGTTTACAGTAGTTATTATGCTCAGTGCCTGGGGACATGTCATCAGGCAATGCCTCTCCCAAGGGAGAATGGCTGGCACCTGAGGCATCCTTAAAGGTGAGGCGCCATTAGAGCTTGAGCAATTTTTATCTACAGTTCACATGCACATTGGGTTACCACTTCAAACATAACCTTAAGGTTAGGTTTTTAGTGTGTATGCTGAAAAATTCTAATAAAGCTGGATTTATTTGATATAATGCTTTCCAAGGTATTGAGCAAGTATTGACACAAACTTTGAGCTTTATGTATTAGATGAGTAACTTAATTAGCTCATTACATTATCCATATAACTGTTCATTTCTTGTAGCTTCCCTTTGCCTTTTCTATAAATACTTTCATGAAAATTTTTGTGATTAGCTTTCTTCTTTGGTACCTTGACTTAATGAATTTAAGCACAGTACTAGATTGGCAGCTAGATCTTATTTGATTGTTGAAATTGCTAAATCTAACCATTTCTATTCTAAAAGTTTTTCTTTCTCCTCCAATTTCTTGCCTTCCTGTCAACTAAGATCTACAAAAATTTAAATGCATTACCCATCATTATCTTGTATCTCCTGAAATCCTATTCTTTATATTGTCCTTTCTCATCTTTGATGCAGATAGATAAAAAAAATACAATTACCACAACTAATTAAATTTCACCCTGAAGTAGTGAAATATAAAAAATATATTAGCCTGACTCAATGAAACTTAAGTCACTGTTGTAATTATTTTATATTCTATAAAAGATCTATTTTTGAGCACTTTAACTGCCAATTTTTTAAATTTACTGTTTACTATCCTATGGAATATAAATTATAGATATATTTTCTTGATTTTTGTATAAATACATATTAATGAAAGTAGAAGAATTCTGTGAGATCTAAGATATTTGAACTCTAACAACACATAAGAAAAACAAACTCCTTTCTAAACAGTTTGCCTGATACTTATTCTGTCAACAATTCCATACTGGCTTGTTTGTTTTTTCAATTTGTTTACCACTTCAGTTATTCATTTTTCAAAATGATTGTAATAAAAATATCTGCAGCTGACAAAATACCTTGAAGGCAGTTTCAAGTTAATGAAGCATAAACATGTTTTTTTCTGACAAAAGATGTTATCTTTGGTCACATAATTTACTCTTATGTTTCAACAGAAAAATGAAATTACAGTTTCTTACCCTTCTTCAAAATAGAAATGAGAAATTTCTTTTTGCTATAAATCATTTTTATGATCTGTCAATGTCTTTTACAAGTTTTTCTCTGTTCTTTTTATTAAAATCCCAATGATGATTCAATAAGCAGGAACATAGAAACAAAATAGCAAAGAGGACCTTGAACACACAGCTATTTTAATCTTATGGTTTGTGTTAACAGGTAAACATTTGTCAGCATTAATAACGAAGCTAAAACTGCACAACACTGTGTGCAACACACCTTCACTTAGTCAGGAGAGTAGTTGGAGGAGCAAAAGAAACAAATTGCTAACTAGGAATTACAAGTACATAAGAAATTTTTGATAACAAAACACCCCAAGTGAGTAATGCAGGTTTAAGGAGAACCTGTCAGATCTTATGTATACAGTGAAACAGAATTTATTTAAAAATTGTAAACTTTTTCAAATCCTAAATGGTGTGCACTTATAATTATATTATAATGGATATCAATGCAGACAGTTAAATTGATGAGCTGAGTTTAAATCCTGGCCTAAACTGTTGCATTTACTTTTGCATAAATACCCTTGGGAAAGGCACGAATCTTTTTTTTTCTCACCACTAGCTATGAGTTAAATGGAAAAGTGGATTGTGCTCTCTAGCCTTTATGTGGTAAACAATATAACAGAAGGAAAGTTCTGAATTCCAGACCTTTGGGGATGCACATAACCCATTATACAGGCACCCATTACTTGACTCTTATAGACTGTGGGCCTTCTCGGTTTGCTATTTGACAACACTTAGCACAAGAAGATTCTGCTGCTGTAATCCAGTGTCTCACAGCAATCTTTCTTTAAAGGGGCCCATTTGCTGAAGATTGGGGTACCCGCCTGTGATTCCGATGTACATATGCACCATCTGGAAACAGCATTGCTGAATGCTCACACACAACCATGAAGTGGATTGCTGCTAGGAAGCAGTGTATTGGTACAATGTTACACCAAAGGATGGCGTTCAGTGAGACTACTCCAACCAATACGTTGTACTCTTATGAAGTTTGGGTGAAATGTGTTGATAATATCACACCGCTTGAGTATGAATTTAGACAGGGAATATATATATATATATATATATATATATATATATATATAAAAGGATATGTCATGCTGGTAAAACCATCACCCAGTAGATGCATGAGTAAATATAGAAAAGGAACAGTGACCAGAATCTTGAGTCCCCAGGCAGTCTACATAGAAGGAATACTGCGACATGGGAGTGTCCTTCACTCTCTCTTTCAACTAGTGGGCAACCCTGTGGAAGTTGAGGTCACCATATCAAGTTATAATGGTGAATGACGTGGATGACTGTTGAATCTGATGGTGACTGATCAATCAAGCGGAGGTGATGGTAAAGAGGATCAGTGGGGCAAAGCAGAAACTGTTGTATCACCACTTCAGAGAAGCACCAGACACAAGAGACCTCATCACCGGCTGCTACTTATATGATCATGAGTTCAAGGAGAAATGTAATGGACATGGCCTATCTCCCCTATGAAAAAGGCAGAAAATTACCTATGCCATACATGTCATGTAAATTACCTAGTACCTTAGGACTAATTAAATGCCTGTAGGTGGGCCTGAAAAAAATCTGCATAACTGATATATAAAAGCTGGAAGATTTTGCCTTTGGAGAGAGAAGGATTATGGATGGCAAGGAATATGTTTCAACAGGCCAGCTGTGAAGTTCAAGGACAAAGATCTGGTAGTGAGGAATGTGAAATGGATTACTATGAATACATTACTACACAGAGGTGAGTGACATGTTCTTACTTGCACAGAACAATGCATTGTAGGAATGGACCTATGTTGTAAGTCAAGGACGTCTACATTATGAAGATCAATATATCTTTGGTATTAAGATCAATTTTCTTTTTTAGCAACACCATTTTTTGTAGAAAAACAAGCATTTCTACTGATTTCACTCCTTTCTTCTTTTATGTGCCTCACCAAATTTTATGTGATTAAAAGTACATTTAAAAATAAAAAACAGTGTTAACCACAGATTCAAAGTTGGAACATTATTATAGGTAACTCTCTCCTCCAATTTACAGAGCCTAATTACTATATTCTTAATACTTAATATAATGCAAAAATATCACAATGATGAAATCAGTCAATAATTATTTCTAACTACTTATATTGGGACTCGCACATGCAATCACAAGTAATCCATAATAATATATTTTAAAATCATATTTTATTTTTGGCATATGAATATTTTGAAACTGTTTCTAAATCTTTGTTTGTCTTTCAATCATTCCACCTCACCTGCTATACTCTTCCACTGCAGCTATGAGGCACACTACACCATTTGGGAATCACTGTCCTGAAAGAATATATATTATGGTTATACTTCTTATACTTTATATCTCTAAATAATGTTTGTCTCATTCCTATCCCTACTACACCCCCCCAGTCCTTGTTTTATCATCTATTTACACAAATTTATTAGGTTGTTTACATATTCCACCCCCACATCCCTTTTGCTTCAATATGTTATGTCAGCATCATATTCTCAAAGTGCTTCATTACAACTACCATCCAACTTTTCTCTTGTGGATAAAGATTCTTTTACTTTTGTCTTGAATGGTAATATTAGCTGTTTCCCTGCAAGGAAACATTTTGAATTCATTGACCAAGCAGCCAGTACTGATTTTAATTGAAATTTACAAAATCTTTCTTTTAAAAATTTTTTCAGAAAAACAGGCTTCTCAAGTTCAGTAGCTCTTATCACCCTTATCGGTATTGATAGGGGTTTCCTTCCAAACTTTCTATTTGAAGTGGGGTGGAATATTAATATCTTGTTTATATCATTATTTTCTCTTTGAGTTATATATGCTATCCATTTTAGTTGTTACTGCTGTTGGTTGTCCTCAAGTAATGTGATTTCTGTTATTTGGTACAGTTCTTTGTTTGTGAATCTGTAGCAACATTCAAAAATGTTAAAAAAAAAAAAGATTGATCTTTGCCAAGACCCTTAGACTTTACTCACTCTAAGCCATTTTTCAGCATTGATCTTAGAAAGCAGTTTTATACAACTGACAGTTTAGGTATTTCTGACCAGTTTTAGCACCATACATAGCATCCATATGAAAGTCTCAATTTGACAAGGCTATTTAAGAACATGACTTGAGTTTTCAGGTTAATGTTTTGGTTTCATAGCAATTTGTGGTGTTGGGCAAAGCTGCCTCTAGTACAGCCAATATAGCTATATGGTCAATATCCTTATTTCCTACATTTAATTTGTTATAACTGATCCATACACCAAGTTATCTGAAGTGTTTAGTATTTACTAATTCCACATCCTGTATTTTTAAAATGAATTCAATATATGTGTGCTGTCATTGCTTTCATTCCAGTTCCAGATCATAATTTCTGTTTTGGAAAGGTTTATCTTACATTCCATTTCTTGGAACACTGAGTAATGAATGCATTTTAGAATTTAAATATTTCATCTCCCTAATCAAATAATTTTACTATTTTGTACAGTTACTCACAAAGAATGGTATTACAGAATTGCTGATTACATCAGATGGCCTTGAAGGCATGTTGAGGGCCACATTATCTGGTGGTAAGTAAATGTCCAATAAGTAATTGTATAATATACAAACAGTTAATGTTTTCCAGGAAATAAATTAAATTGTCACATATTTATCCTAATTATCAATTTTTCAAAATTAATATAAGCTTTAAAATAAAAGATTAGGCTCAGAAAATAAAATCTTTATGAAGAAGATAAAAAGAACAAGACAGATTTGTTGATGAAAAGTTTGTTCATTAATCTGACTTAATTGCAGTCTATTCAACCAGCTTCTTCAAATCTGTAACAGCAATTTGAAACTTAAAGGTAAAAGGTTACTAAGCTTAAACTGGCACACAGCTACAGTACTTAAGCATCAGGAGTGGGGTAGCACCCACCCACCTGAAAATCATTTAGCACCATGTTATAATAATGGGAACTAATTTTAGTATACTAATACTTATAAAATATACAATTCATCAAATCTGTTTCCAGCACTTGATACTATTTTGCTTTCTGTTGTATGTATTGAGCAATGAAGTAAAAAAAAATATTTTATTATAAATCATACAAAAATAAATTATTTTTTTTATTTATGACTTTCTCCAATCTGAGAACCAGTCACTGTTATCACAAACTGAGGATTAGAATTCACATAAATGTATTTTATTTAATCAGTATCATCCCATGCGAGGCAGTAAAGCTGCTAAGACACAAGGAGTCACAGGGTGTGGAAGAATTAGGAACAGAAACATTAATAATGAGCAGGAAGAGGAAAGAGCAATCAGGAGGACAGTAGATAGCAATTGACATTGCATTTAAATTTTTCCAGATTAAAATTGGCTGAAAGCATGGAGCCAGAAGAGAGTTCCACAAGCGAGAAGTGTGAGAAAAGGAGCCGTTAGTATAGAACTTATGGCTATATCTAGCCAAATCAGCTATAAATTGATAAGATATTGATGCCAATGTAGTACTGTACTTAAATTTAAAAGGTCTAGGTACAATAGCAAAGAACTCATTCAAATTATTACCATGAAAGTATTTATAGAAAAGACACAGAGAGGCAACCTTGCAGCAGTGGGAAAGTGACTGAAGCTGAGCTGCCATATCAGGACCAATAATATTACTGATTCTTCTTTGGATTTTATCAAGGAGTTCAAGGTAAATAGCAGCAGGTGCTGGACCATATGTGGCAGCAATATTCTAAGCATGAATGAATGGTAAATTTATACCTATGTAAGATATGTATTAGCATAAAACACTTTTACTCACAGCCCCACTCTTATTCCGGTGATAGCCTTCAGTAAGGACTGAACTCATTATGTGAGATTAACTTATTAATCCTCACTTTGTAACAACGTATATCTTATTAATGGCAGCATGAATTAAATCTCACTTCATGCAAGTGATTGCAAATTGTAGCTCCTGACATTCTTTCATTATTGCTAAAATGTTCCTCAATGCAGATTGTCACTGACATCAAATCTTAATGACTTGCTACAATCAGAAAGTACTTGTTATTTATATTGCAGATAACTTTTATGACTGTATGAGTTTTCTCCAGTCACAATTGATCAGTGAAAAATCCAGTAGAAATTAGTTACAGTCTGCAGAATTTAAAGTGGTACAGACTCTCTTGATGTCAGGAGTTTGTGGTAAATGTTCTCCATATATCAGAAATTTTAACCAGCTTATATTTAGTTCATTGGACAAATGCAAGTTGGATGAAAGGGTGATAAACCTGCTACTGCTTGGAACTATTGATTAAATTGGAGGGGGGGGAATAACTGAATTGGTTAACAATGATGGAAAGTTGCACTCTCAGTGAGGCTCCATGCTTTGAGTATCTATTGAGTGTCCAGTTCACACCAAACCTTAAATGGAACATGTATATAAAATCCATTACTTAAGAAGCTGGAGAAATGGTCAGCTCACTATATTACTCCAGGTAGTATCTGACACCTTGTGTCACATATCTTTCCAAGAATCAGATCATGTTCAAAAATCCCTGATCACCTTAAGTCAAGGGTCAATTGTTATCTATTCTCCCAATCCTGATTTCATACTTCCTTTTTCTTCTATTCATATCATATGCCTCGCTCATCATTACCATTTCAGCAATAAACCTCTACCTTGAGTGGCTCTCGATCCTTGTATTGCGTAATATTTGGGGGGAAAAAAGATAGAATAATGGAATGAAGGTCATAAAAATTCTCTTCAGTGCTCAGTTGATTCACTGAAGAGAATGTCTTATTCCTTAATTTCCTTCTGCCCAAAACCTGTTTTTGTCAAGAACATTTTGGATAATTGATCTCTCATAGGATTATCTGTAATTGTTGAAATCTATCATGATTTTGTTTATGGTATCTGATTCAACAATTGACCTAAAATTCTTGAACTTTTATTAAAATATGAATAAGTTTATTTGCATTATTTACATGTGGACTATTGTCCTCACCCTGTTGTTGTTACCACAATGTTTCAGTTGTCGTACTCACCAGCCTTCATCAGATGCTTGTCAATCTGGATAAGCTTCAGGGAATTTCAAACAACCCACATGTAAATAATGATAACTCCTCATCTCAGAAATTCTGACAGAAATAATGAATAAATTTAACAAATATTATCTGCTTTTACTAAAAAATTTAATTGATGTTATTTATAAACTTCAATTGGTTCTATGAATTTATGTTTACATGTCTCTTGATTGGTGGTCAGCTTTCATCATGATAAACAATTCTTTACATAAGTTGTTTTTTAGTTCATATTGAAATTCTCTCTCCATCCAGATTTGGTATCAAAATTGATTGCTTTATATTTCAGCGCTTCCTACAGCAAATTTTGGTAATTTTAACAAAGGCCAAAAAATCTTCAAAGCAATTGGAGATAGCAACCCAAAATATCCACTCATGGTTATGGAATTTTGGAGTGGGTGGTTTGATCACTGGGGTAACAAGCATCATTCAGTTAGGTCTCTTTCATGTAAGTATTTTCTTCAAAAGATCCCTTTTTTTACTTGATGGATTTCTAAACAAACAAGTACAATCCAAAATAGATAACATTGTTGAAAATAGTGTCTGCTGTAAAAGATGTGTGGGTCATGTAACAGTTATGTGGGTCATGCAACAGATATCAGCATAGAAAGGGGCAATCAATGATCCATGTCCAAATTTCCACCTAATTTGTGCATTCACTTTTACACTTGGGAATGGCCTGAATTCACCACTTCTGTCCCAGCTATGAATTAAATAACAGGGTGAACTAGAGTATCTGGCCTTGACTGGCAACCCATATAAAAGAATGACTACTGTGAATTTGAAACCATGGAGAAAGCAACAGGAAATTACTCCACTATCTTTCCCAAGAATACATGGTAATTCACAAATAATAAAGAAAAGGAATCTATAGGGTGTCATGATCACCTGCATCCTGAATGGATATTAAAAAATCTGCTGTAAATATCATAGCTGCTCCTCAAGAGAGCTGACAGCTTGTAGAAATGAAAAAATAAAAATCTCAATTGATGAAGGCTTTTTCAAGAAAAAAAAATCTGAATTATTAATGGGGAGAGAGATATTTCTAAAATGTAATGGGTAGCAAGATATCTAGAAAATGTAAGATATTTATAAAACTTAATATTTAATGGGGCCAAGATATCCATGAAATTTAATGGACAAATTTTCATGTTTTAATTTGTTTTTTTTAAATGGTACTTCATAATTTGAAGTTCAGTGTAATACTCTCTTCTGAAAATCATTTCAGTAAAACATGTATTTCACTTAGACAAAAGAAAATTCTTATTTTATAACCAAATCAGAAAGAAAAGGAGATATGTGTAAATTTAGAGTATTCAGTAACAGATCATTATCATAACATGGAAAAAAAATTAGGCACCTGTGAAAAAAAAAAATTGTTTAACTTTCTTTGGATATTTTTAATAGCCATTAATATAATAGTATTCTTACAAAATACATTCCAATGAAATAACCAATTAATTAAGCCTTTGTAATTTGTTCTCTTATCAAAATTTAATAAATTTAAATTTTCTATTCCAGGGTTTCAAAAGAATTTTCAGCAGATCATTAACTATAATGCTTCCTTCAATTTCTACATGTTTATGGGAGGCACCAATTTTGGTTTCATGGCTGGTGCTAATGCTGATAAAGACAAATATGAACCCGATGTCACAAGTTATGGTAAGTCATGGAATTCTAACGTTCTCTTCCCCAACCATTATTCTCAGGTTTTCTTTCAAATATTTTTTATATACAAAGGTGTTTTTATTGTTATTCTTTTAAGTCATTTTGCTATCTCTCCTAATCACTTTTCTTTCATCCATTTGCACAAGTTCATTAAGCAGGTTATACACTATTTTCTTCTGTCACTCTTCCTTTCAATATGGCCTGTAAGTGTTAAATTTTTCAAAACCACTTTCCTCAATAGGTGCTCTAGAAATTTCAATTGTCTCTTTCTGGTGTTATGTATAAGTGCCTTTTTTGTTTCCATTTTCTCTAAAACTTATTAATATTCACTACATATTAAATATATTTTAATTTTAGCATTTACTTTACTTTACAGAAGTATTTACTTTGAAACTTTGTGTGTAAGTGATTAATGTGAAATATGTGCAAATTAGGTGGATGTTGAAATTTTTTTTTATTTTCACATTCATTTCATTATTTTAAGTGAGCATTTTCAAAATGTAACTGAAAAAGGAGCAAGTATGACCCAACTTAGAAGGGTTTCAAACACATCGACGGACAGACAGAACATACCATTTATTTATTTAGATTTATTATAAAATTTATAATATAATAATTTCCAGTTGATTTTGTATGCAGTTTCCACTGTTTATTCTTATTTAGTAAGATTAGTATGTATTAGTTATTCACTAAGATTATAATTTTATTGTTATTTACTAAGATTAGTACAACACAAACATTAATGGGGAAAGTCATAAAATTTTTTATTGGTAATCATCCTTGGAAATCAGCATTCAAATTTCTGTTCTTCACTTGGGCTCAAACACTGACTGTTAGTACAGATAGAAAATATAAAACAAACCAAGAAGCATGCCTTTCTGCTTTTTCTGGCTCAAAGACACAGCAGTGGAGCATTTAGTTATGTCGAAGGGCATAGTCTCATCTCAGGAGACAGCTAACTGACCCTGTTTTCTACAGGGTCCACGGGGAATTTTTAGGAAGCCTATGGGCTCAGATACCCAATTATAAACTAGGCCTTGTGCCACATCCAGCTGCATTGAACAGTTAGTAAATATTTCACTTAGTAAAGAGTGATCAGTATTGAATTGTTAGTGAGATAAACTAACTAACCATTGTACTGTGGCAAATCTCATTTTTATTTAGAAGAAATCAAGTATGATATTTTTTTTATTTAAACACAAAATATTAAACTTATATATTTTTTTTTTTTAAATCTATAAAAAAAAATAACATGAACCGGTTTTTCTTATTTGCACAATACAAGCATAAAAATTGTTTTTGACATGAATGATTACTAGAATCCTAAGAATGTGATGAAAAAGTGAAATAAAAAAAAAAACTAAATGAGAGAAAAATAATAATCAGTTCTCATGACGAAGACGACAACAACAGCAGCTTGATTATTTGTATTTGCTATTTGCACTTGGAAATAGTTTGCACCTCAGAAAACAAGATTTTTGTCAATAATTTTTATTGAAATTAGGTTATTTTTTAACATTTTATTATTTCTAAGTTCATTCAAATCATGATGATAAAAAAATCTGTTATTGCAAAAAAATATTCTTGTTAAATGAACTTGAAAATTGAGTTGATAATGTACAAAATTTGATTATCCACATCTTGCAGGAAATGGATCAATATATTTCTGTTTTCATATTCAAGAAAATATGATATTTTATAGGCAAGACTTATAAATTCATTTTATTTGTACTGAGTACATTATTAACTAGCTACAAAAAAACTGACAGGATTATTTATGTATGGATTGACACTACTTGCTAAGCTGAAAGTGTTGCTTTTAGCACTTTTGCCTCGTAGCAGTGTAATATCTTTGAAAAGTGTTAGTCTATCAACTGCTAATCTACTTCAGCACAATAACAGACTTGGGAAAAAAATCAAGGGAGAAGAAAGGGAGAAGATTATGTGAAGAAAGAAAGAAAAAATTGTGGAAAGAATGGAGAGAAATAAAGACAAAGTTTTGCTGTCTTGGTTTTTATTATTCTTTTTCCCCTTTGTTCTTTTAAAGTGGGTGAAGCTTTATTTTTCTGCATTGCAGTGCACACACCTTAAATAGGAAGGTAAGTCAATACTATGGTAATAATATTTATCAAGCAAGTACAGAAATTTAAATATCCAAGAAATGTTTTAACAGACAATAGAAAATGTTGAACAGAAATTAAAAGGCACTTTGGAATAGTAAAAGATGCCTTCCATAAACTAACCAAAGTATTAAGAAATAAGAAAATTTCATTAGAAACAAAATAAAAAGAAAAGTGTGCTGAACTACTATATAATATACTATATGACAGTGAATGTTAAACAATTTCCCCACATGAAAAGGCTTGAAGCAGCAAAGCTATCCTTCTAGAGAAAGATGCTTGGAATACGATGGACAGGGCAAGGGTGCAATGAAGTTTTATGGAAAATAGAAACTAAAAAGACACTCAGAATCAGAAAGAGATAGTTAAATTTTTTGTGACACATAATGAGGAAAGAAGGCTTGGGGAACTTGACACACACAGGATATACTGAAGGCATGAGGGACAGAGGCAAACAGTGAGTAATCTGCCTAACAAGTTTGTGTAAATAGATAGCAGAACAGGCAGTTGGAGGGTTAGTAAGGACACAAACCTTCTTTATAACTACAAAGGATAGGAAGTTATTAGGAGCCATGATAACCATTTCCTGAAGGAGGGATACTGTACATAAAAGAAGAATCATATTAAGTTCATCAATATATAAATTTATCAATGCTTAATTAATTAAAAATATGGAAGATTAAAAATAAAATCAAAATCCATGGTTTTACACAAGTTGCAATTATTAGACTTGATATTCTAAAGCAATGCTTATCAACATTTTTCAGCCCATGAACCATTTCTTTATTCAAAAAATTCAAATGAACCAATCCTGTTATTTTTAGGCTATTTAATTTTCACACTAAAATACTCAATGAAAAGACAAAATAGTCTATTTACATTTAAAATTTATTTTAGTAAATAAGGATAAACACAAGATATCATTAATCAATTTTGATGATGTCATTCAGTCTTCATCTGATAATTCCTCAGCTGTTGAGATCTAATTTATTTCTTCTTCTACTAAAAACATCCACAACAGCCAAACATCCAGGTTCTACCATCCATGTGGTAGGGAAAGAAATGATGCTTGCATCTACATGTTGTTAAATATTAGAGCATGAGTTCTTTATCGATATATAGGCAAAGACACCTTCTTTATGAACGCTTCTTCTCAGTTTCACATTCTCTTTTAAGTCCAGCAACATTCCAACCAACTTCTGGCTCATAATTTTCTAGGTCTAAAAACCAGCATGGATAATCCATCTTTAATAGATCATTGTATCTTTTCTCAAAGTCTACATGAAGACCTTTAACATGGGAAATGCATGCAACAATGCATTCTGATGTAGGAGCAGTGGTATTGAAATTTTGAAATGATGCCAAATTTTCTTTTTCTCAAACTGTATTTTCCAAAATTTCAATTTCCCCATATAGCCTTTTATCTTCTGAGCACAGGTAACTAAATCTGATTTTTTACCTTGCATCTTCAAGTTAAGCAGATTCACTTTTTTAAAAATATCACTCAGAATATTTTTGATTTAAACTCAGGAAGTCTTTTCAAAATTTCCTTAGCTGTATCAGCTTCTTGGAATTATAATGAGTCATTTGGAACATGAGAAAATTGATTAATGGTTCCCCATAAATTCACTTGTCTTTCAAGGCTCAAACCTTTTGACAACCATCTTACTTCTGTGTGAAGCTATAGGCTTTTAAAATTTTCATCTTCACAGAATTGCACAAAAAATCTCTCATCGAGTTTGATTTGACAAAGTTAATTGCATGTATGGCAGTGTTGAGTGCTTCTTGCATGTCTTCCCTAATATTCTTAGCAACCAAATGTTGTCTGTGGATAATACAATGGATATAAAAGATATGAGGAGCAACTGATTTTATTCTGATTTTCACTTTTCCTATCATGGCAGCAGCTCCATCTGATGTAATGTTGATCAAATTAGTCAATGGAATATTTTTATCATTAAAATACTGCATTACTTCACTGAATATATCCTCTCCTTTAGTAGTTTCAGGCAAACTTTTAATGAATAACATCTCTTCCCTTATATCATCTTCATGGCTGAATCTGACACAGACCAGAAGGATAGCTTGGTTATGAATTGTGCTTTCATCAACCTGGATAGAAAACTTTGTCTTTTGCAGAATTTCCACCGTCTTCTCCTCAGCAAAATTAAACATTTCATCGTGTCTTCTTGTAATAGTGCCATTTGAAAGTGGAATTGTACTCAGGGTAGATGCAGTATCTTTTTCCAGAGCCTCATTTGCACAAGCTATCATAGCAAGCTTAACATGCTTCTCAACATAGACCTGAGGTGCTCCAATCTTGGCAATAATTTCAGAGACCAAATAACTTGGTTTGAGTGTCTTTGCTTTTGCCGTATTCATCTTCTTTACAAAGTCGGATAGTTTGGCTGGCTGCCCTTTCTTTTTATTCTCAAACTATTCCCTATCTTTACCAACAGATGATGGCTGCTTTGATTTTTGATGCTGCCCCAGCTTAACATTCTTCATGGAATCATTTGTCAACATGGCACAACATTCAAGACACACAGGTTTTGAGTTTACAGATACAAAGCTAAGCATGATAAAATCTTCTCTATAATTCCTCAGATTTGCCTTTTTAGCAGTTGGTTCAGACATTATTACAACTGTTCTGAAAAAATATTAAAAATAATAAATACTTTTCTATAAATTAGAAATATTAAATTTATTATGAAACAATATTGTGTAGTGATCTATTAACATAGGAATAATTTCTTATATGAATAAAAATTTATATTATATATAGTATATAACTTAAATAAAATAAATATAACACTGTATAATACCTACATAATTTTGAAATTTTCAAATATAATGGATATGTGTATAATTAAACAAAATATTATATTTTTTAATTCTTCAAAGTATGAATAATTTAGATACATTTTTGTGAAATGGCTACAATTTTTTATGGCTATGAATTCTCTGTGGACCACTAGAAATGCTATGTGGACCACCAGTAGTTCACCTGGACCACGTTGAGAATCACTATTCTAAAGTATTGTTGTTGTTTTGAGAACAGCCTTCCAAACTTAATCAAAAACTGTACAAAATGAAAATTCATTCTGATTAATAGAATGTGATAGAAGTGAATGTCACATAAATATTTCTCTAGTCATTTGATTTTACTTACAAAACTTTTATATTTCACTTTAAATATCATTAAACAGGTTCTATAATTTTAGCCCATAAATCAAGTTAATAGAAAAAAGCATTTACTTGTATATTTCATAGTATCTTTATTACTATCATATGCACTCTTCTTTTCATCTTTTAGAGAATTTTATTTACTCCAATGTCCACACACACACGCACCTTGCTGAGTGGTTACATGTGACATCAAAAAGACTATAAATAGCTACAGCTATTACCCATGAGGCAGTTGAGTGCATACTACTTTCCATGAGTCAGTAACACTACACTACAATAGAGTCACCAATATCTAAATTGAGCAAACAATTATCTCTGGATAATTACAAAAATGCACAAATGTGGCTTAGGATACTAGCAGCTAAAGCTTTAACAAAAAAGCTGAACGATTTAAAATCTGTTGGATGAGAAAACTATTATATTAAGCATATGGTAGTGAGAGAAAGGAATAACAAGGTTTAGAGTGAAACAGCATTTATTGTTGGTAGAGAGTACCGGAATATGGTCAGGTGTACATGTAGTGTTGGGAGTTGAACCATTTCTTATGTCAGCGTGGCCAAGGTCACAGGATATGGTTCGTGCATGTTTGGTTAATGGAGGTCACGAATGTAGGTTGTCTTGTTGGTTGGTTGACCTGTTGTGTTGAAGCGGGGTGACATCGGATTGGCATGGTCTTGGTAGCCATGTTCTGTGGAATGGAGGATACTGGTGTTGACTATGTAGGGAGTGCCTTGGAAATAAGGTAGTCCTGTTCATTGGAGTGGATGTCACTGGGGTCATCTGCAAAGGGGATACCTTTTAAACAAGCTGAGGTAGGTCAAGGTGATGGCAGGTTTGGGAGGCCAGTTCTGTAGAACAGAGGTAGCTGTGTTGACTGTGAAGGGAATGCCTTGTAAATGAGTTGAGGTAGAACTGTTCTGTTGAGCAAAGGTCGATGCATTAACTGCAAATGCAGTGCCTTGTAAAAGAGTCAAGGTAAACCAAGGTGACAGCAAGTTTGGGAGGCCAGTTCTGTGGAACAGAGGTAGCTGCATCAACTGTGGAGGGAATGCCTTGTAAATGAGTTAGAACTGTTCTGTGGAATGGTGGTTGCTGCATCAATTGCAAAGGGAATGCTTCGTAAACAAGTTGAAGTAGAGCAGTTCTGAGCAGATGCTGCTGGGGTCAACTGCAAAGAGAATGCCTTGAAAACTCGACAAGCTAGGCTGAGTTGATGGTGGGTTTTGATAGGCCAAGGTGGTAGGTCAAGCCAGGAAGTGACAATGGTTGTTGAGATGTGTGGTCATGTTGAGTGGTGACAGTGAAGGTAACAACGGTGGCAGTAGTAGTGCTTTGCATGGTGGCTGGTCCACAACTCTGTTGTCATGGTGACAGCAGCAGCAGCGCTAGCTACAACTGTCTGGTCATCCTCAGAGCCTGCTTTTAAGCAGGTCTGGTGGTCCCAATGGGCATCTCTTTTACTGGCAGGAACATTCATGATCAGCTGTCACTGGAATTCCCTTTGTACACTGGATGTGGTGCATGGAGCCCAATGCACATAAAACGGCTTTTTTTAATTTTTTTCTTCTGCTTTCACAGCAGTTACATCTGGTTAGTTGCAGAATGAATCAGAATGAGATCTAATTGTGACAGAGTATAACAGAACCAAATAACTGATCTCTTGTTGGCAACTGCTGGTTGTGAGACCATCGTAAAATTATCAGCAATTGCACAGCCAAGAGAATTGGAGGAAATGACGTTTGATGATATAAGTCAACTAATAGTGAAAAATATAACACCCAAGAAAAATCTAGTGAATGCAGTGAGAGCTAATTTTATGAATATTTATAAAAAAATGAATGAACCAGTTATTGAATATGTTCTTCATCTAAAACAGGCCACTAAATATTGTGAATTTGAGAAACTGGGATTGGAAAACCAGTCAATTGACAAAGATTTGATCTAAATGAAATTGGTAAATGGCTTTTAAAATGAGGAGTATCAATAAATGACTCTAATACATTTTCTTTGTTCTTGAGAATTAACAACAAGAGTAATAATGCATTTACAACTGGGAAAGTTGTTACTAGAACAGTGTGTTGAATTTGTTCAACAACAAGAATTGATTGGTAAATAGAATCAAACAAAATTTATGAATCTGGTAGAGTAAATGGATGCAATAAAGAAAAAAGATAAAATAAGATGTACTTTTTGTGAATATCAACATCAAAGAGACAAAGAAAAATATCTGCCATATAAAAAAAATGTGAAAAGTGTTTGAAAATGAATCATTTTAAACTCATGTGTAAATCCCAAAAGATAAATGTAGTTCTGGTCCAACAAAATGAAGAGCAAATAAGTATGGATGTCTTTTCACTGAAAAAAATGAAAACAGATTATTAAAAATTTGAATCAATAATGTTTTATTGGACATGCAACTAGATATGGGAAGTGACATGATGTTGATACCCAGAAATTTCTGAAAGAAATTAGGAAAATCTAGATTAAAGAAAAGCTTTGTCCAATTGAATCAGTTTGACAGATACATGACAAAAACATTAGACTATTTTGAAACCTATGTGGAACTGACAAATAAGTTTGATGTATTACTAATTATCATGGCAAAAATGGTATTGAACTCACAACTTTTTGGGTCTAGTCACTAGATCTAACTAAAGCCATTGGGCCATGCATCCTTGTGGATATCTGTGTATGAATTTCTGGGACATAAGCCTAATGACTCAGGATCAATTTTTTATCAGTGCTCATATTGCAATTTTTTTAGCAAAGCTTATATTGCAATATTTTGTTGTTATTCATTGCTTTTCACTAGCACTCTTTATTACTGGTTCCCATATTGGATTATACTAGTGTTTAGTTTTTAATAATTCATTGAAATTGATTTTCATTGTATATTGATATTTATCAAAATGTATCTAAAAATATGTCAAAATTGGGATCTCATTGTTTCCTGCTTCAAATATTGAAAATGAAAGAAAATAAGTAATATTTTTGGCAAAGGCTTTTTAATATTTGAAAACA